GAATGTGAGAAATAAAATTTTGTTCTTGAAATACCATTGATATTTGAAATACACTGATTGTGGCTGCACTAGAAAACTAGAACGGGTACATATACCATTGTCAGTATCTTACAGATGAGGAAACCTAGTCTCAGAGTGTAATACAGCCAGAAAGGGGAATAAGGTTAGCTTTAAAAAAAAATTTTTTTTTGTTGGCCTTTACCCTGAAATTTTGCCCTTCCAGTTTTGGGGAGTGAAGACATTATCTCTTTTAAGAAATGGTGGTGATATATATATTTTTAAAGGTCCTTACAGTGAGAAAGGAGAATTTGGTAATCTTAAAAAAAAAAAAAAAAAGCCAATTCCAGCCCCATGTGTTGCAGACTAGAACTGCTCCATAGAGTTTTCATGGCTGTGTCCTTTCAGAAGCAGGTCTTTCTTATGAGGTGCCTCTGGGTGGATTTGAATGGCCAATCTTTCAGTTAATAGTCAAACACTTACCATTTTCACCACCCAGAGACTCTTAAATCCAACCAGTTGCCATTGAGTTGAGTTGTTTGGCAGGTACTTTGTTCTATTTCTTCACCACCTTGTTATCAGTTGCTGATATGGTAGTCATCACATAGGGAAGACTTGGCAATCTATGTTATTGTTAGTTGCCATTGAGTAGATTCTGGTAATGGCAATTTATACCAGTTCCTCAAATTTATTCAGAAATCTTATTGATGCATAAAATCCCAAAGTCTTGGAACCACACAAACTGTACATGTACATGATAGGGTTATTATTATTATTATTATTATTATTGTGTTTTTACCATTACTAGGTACAGTGCAAGAACACAGAGATGTTTCATTTCAGTTTCCAAGGCACACTTCAAGAGGCCTGGATTTGAATCCAAGCTCTGCCTGTAGTACTAACTGGAGCACATTAGGAAAGTGAAGTAATCTCTCTAATACTCGCTTTCCTCATCTGTATAATGGAGATAATAATAGTGCCTAACTTTTAGTCATTCTTGAGCATATGTTATCTGTTGCAATGGTTGAATCTCAACCAATACTTTTTGGTACAGTGGCTCTGTGTATTCCTTCCATTTTCTTTTGATACTTCCTGTGTCGTTCAATATTTTGGCTATAGAATTGTTCAATATTGCAACTCAAGGCGTGAATATTTTCTTCAGTGCTTTCAATGTGAGAAATGCCAAGCTTCTACTCTCCTTTTAGTTTTCTAACTCCAGGTCTTTGCACATTTCATTGTAATACTTTACTTTGTCTTCTTGAGCAGCCCTTTGAAATTTTTACTTCATCATTTCTTCCCTTTGCTTTTGTTACTCTATGTTCAAGAATAAGTTTCAGAGTCTCTTCTGACATCCATTTTGGTCTTTTCTTTTTGTCTTTTTAATGGCCTTTTGATTTCTTCATGTATCCTTGGTGTCTTCCCACAACTCTTCTGGTCATTGGTGTTCAATGAGTCAAATCTGTTCTTCAGATTGTTTCTAAATTAAGGTGGGATATACTCAGGGTCATATTTTTGCTTTTGTGGTATTGAAGAAAGATGTTCAAGCTGCACAGAATTGAATTGTGGTGCTAGTGAAGAGTACTGGAAATACTATGGACTAAGAATGAACAAATCTGTCTTGGAAGATGTATAGCAGAATGCTCTTTGGAAGGGAGGATGGCAACACTTTGTCTCTCATACTTTGTTCATGTTATCAAGAGGGACCAGTTCCTAAAGAAGGACATTATGCTTGATAAAGTAGAGGGTCAGCAAAAAAGAGGAGGATATCATCAAGATGAATTGATGCAGTGCCTGCAACAATGGTCTCAAACATAGCAACAATTGTAAGGATGACAGATGGCCAGGCAGTGTTTCTGTTGTACCTAGGATCACTATGAGTTGGAACCAACCCAACAGCACCTAACAACAACAAAATATGCATGTGAAAGCTGGATAATGAATGAGAAAGACTGAAGAAGAGTTGATGCTTTTGAGTTGTGGTGTTGACAAAGAATCCTCAAAGTACCATGGACTGCCAGGAGAATTAACAAATGTGTCTGGGAAGTGCAGCCAGAATGCTCGTGGGAAGCGAGAATGGCCAGACTTCATCTCACCTACTTTAGTCATGTTGTCAGAAGGGACCATTCCCTGGAGAAGGATATCATGCTCAGTAAAATGGAGGGTCAGTGAAAAAGGGGAAGGCCCTTAATGAGATGGATTGATACAGTGGCTGCAATGATGGGCTCAGGTATAGGAAGTACTGTGAGACTGGTGCGGACCAGTCACACATTCTGTTATACATAGGGTTGCTATGAGTCAGAGCTGACTCAACACCACCTAACAACAACAACAACAGCTTACATGGTTTCAGTCAAAAAATTACTCAGCTCATTGCCTTGGTTCTCCAATCTAATCTAAAAAGGCAATTGTTCCCATCTCACACTCAAAGGGTGGGATTCAAACTTTGGTCAGTATCAGAATCACTTGGAGTATTGGGTAAAAATACAAAGACCCAGGAACTATTCTATTCCAACAAGTCTGGATGTTGGTGTTCTTTATTATTATCTGCCCCAGATCATTCTTATACACACCACATTTCAGAACTGCCATGAAAGAATGAAAGAAATAAGGCTCCCTGCTTACTCTAAGGGGTCACGAAAGATAATTATCATTATTCAAATACATTTGTCCCTCCTTCTGGAGATGGCAAGCAGGCAGACTGTCCTCATGTAAGTTGCACACACAGAGTCCTATCCCAGGGGAGCTGGGATTGCACCCTGGTGTTCACTGGGGATGGGAGGCTTAACTATCACAGAAGCCCTGGGGTCCTCATTCTTCAAGAGTCCAAGAAAATCCAAAGAGGGAGAACACCTCTTGTACATCTCCCAGCCCATATCAGGGACATAGCAGATTTACGGCAGAGCCACAATGAAACCCAGAACTTTGGATGCCTAGATTAGTGTTAGAAGGGCTTATTTGGGAGAATCTAAGAGAAGCCCTCTGGCTCCTAACAGGTGGGACAAGAAGTTAGGGATCTGCAGGTGGTGACCTGCAAGTTTCTTCCTAGCTGATGATGCCTAGGAAAGGGCCTAGCCAAACACTAAGATTCCAAAGGCCTCTTCTGAAAAGTTTGACAATTAACTCAGGGTTCTTGTCACTACCTAGAGAGGAACCAAGAACTACCCTCAATATCTAAAAAAGTTCAAGCTCCTTGACAATGCAATTTATTGACCTTGTTGCCTGAGCAGGCACAGAGTCCTGTTGGTACCATGAGATCCTGATTAGAAACAAACCTTGGAATCCCAGAGCCTGACTGAGAGAGTCACAATCCTGTGCACAGCATACAGCAGCTGCTGCCAGACAGGTGAATAGGTGACAGTTCTCAAACCACAGCAAGTGCTTTAGTTGACTCAGGGCAACAAACTTGAGGGGTGGAGCCAGAATTTAAACCAAGAGTCAGTGTAGCCAGTTTCAGAAGCAGGAAGACTTGTGGCTAGGATAGAGTTTCAGTTGCTCTGCCAGAATTAGACGAGCAAGCCATTCTTTCCCTCTCTGAGCCTCATTTTCCATACTGTTAATAATAATAATACCCCAGAGAAGTAGTTAGGCTTTGTGGGGCAAGAAGCTTATACCATTGGATGAGTGTGTATGTGTTTGCAGGAGCTCTTTAAGAAAAAGAACACAGAATTATAAATACAAAACCTTAGTACATAAGACCCTCGGAAAGCACTCCATGTAAGGGAGAGGATTTGAGGAATCTGTCTCTGATGCTACCCCTAAGAAATTTATGTAAAGTTATGTGAAGCTCTTAGCACATGGCAAGCACTCAAAAAATGTTAAGGTTGTGATGAGACGATAGTAGGAGGAATAGTCAGGCTTGAGTAAAATGCTAACATTTTGAGGGAGGAGGAGGTCCTGTCTGCTCATCTGTTCCTGAAGCAGAGACAATCACAGAGAACGAGGCACTAGAGACTACCCCCCCACCCCCGCCAAGGCCTTCTTTAGATGCAGAGGTTCCATCCTGGATGTCATGTGTGACATCAGACAAATCACACCCTCTCTAGGCCTCAGTGTCCTGCTGAGGAAAATGAGCTGAGAGTCGTTCAATCTCTGCCCCTTCTCCCTTTTCAACAGAATGCCCTGTGTGTCTCCTTGGACCTTCACAAAACGAAAGAATAATTAGAGGTGAGGAGTCCCTGGGTGCCACAAACAGTCAAGCACTTGACAACTACCCAAAAGGTTGGTAGTTTGAGTCTACCCAGAGATGCCTTAGAAAAAAGCCCTGGCAATCTACATCCAAATAATCAGCCACTGAGAAGCCTATGGAGTGAAGTTCTAGTCTGACACACATGGGGTTACCATGAGTCAGAGTTGACTCAATGCAAATGTTCTTTTTTTCCAAGTTAAAAAGGAGGCACTCTCAGAAGTGACATCTTGCACCAGATTGAACATCCAGTGAGAAGTGGAAGCCACAGCCCTGAGATGATCTGAGATGAGGTGGAGGTGTTCTCTTGGAGGGAGTAATAGTGTACTGGTTGCAAATCCTGACTAGTTTGAGCTCAGGTTCCCTGTCCCCTGGCCAGGTTCCTTTACTTCAAGGAAGTTTCCTCATTATTTAATTTACAGCTTTCAACTAGAAAATATAGTTGAAAATACTTGAGGGTGTCTACCCCTTGGTAAATTGCTTACTAAACACTAGTTATTAAATTATCAGTATCATAGCCACTGTTGCCATTTTTGTAATTAGTTAATACCAGTAAGGGTGGTTGACTCCCTCCCCAAACCCCTCCTCCTCCTCCTCCTCCCAGGACAGCAAGGCTCCTCTTCCACTGGGCTTCCTCAGGATGGGAGGGGGAGGAGGAGGTACCCAGGGAGGTGGGCGGGGCCTCACTCCAGATTGACCAGAGCCTGCTAAGGCACAAGCCACTGAGTTGGGATTTGCACCTGAACTAGACATCTTCCTGCCAGTTTCTTTCCAAAACAGACCTCTTCTACACCCTGAACCCTCCCTTTTTGAAGCAGTCATGCCTTTGACCAAGAGTACCAAGGATCCTCAGGTTGCTGTTTCCCTCAAAGTGGACTTCATGTCTCCTCCTGAAAGTGCCAAGAAGCTGCAGAACAATGCCTCCAGCTTCTGGGAAGGAAGCTCTTCAGAGTCGTCAGACTTGGAGAAGACCAAGGGTATAACGTGAGTGTTGTTTTCTGCCATTGCCATTACTGCCTTCCAGCCTAGGAGGCTTCAGTAGCAAAATCCCTGAGGTGGGTGTGTCTGACCCCCAACCCATTGTACAGATGGGGTAACTAAAGTTGGGAAAGGTAGAATTAGAGGCTGAGTCAGTATGATAGCTCAAAAAGGCAGGAATAGAGAAATGTGAGGAAAGCCCATATATATATATATATATCCATCCCCATATAATTGTGTTCCAGCTCCCAACTTGTGTAGGTGGGGAAACTAAGGCCCAGTTACCTGCGGCCACACCCTGAGTGATTGGCAGGATAGGGGCTATATTCCAGTGTTGGCCCAAAGGTCAATGTTGCTCCTGGTCAGCTCTGCTAATGGAGACAGAACCCCCAACTCCTTGGAGGAAAAGGTGAGACCTGAACTTAGAACTACAGTGCCCTCCCTGACATCCAAGCATTGCCTCCTCCCTACAGTCTCCTCAGCCTCTGCTTCTAATGGGAATTGTAGTGACAACACCAATAAGCACAGTATGTAGAAGGTTCTGGTGGTTTTCCATTTTTCCAGGGTAGGGGGTGGGATTATTCACAAAACTTTCAATCTGAGATAAGGACAGTCTATCAAATGAAGCTGGACAGGGAAGCGAAGCTAAAGGGGTTTCAGCTCTTTTCCCTGCACCTGGACTCCACCCCTCAAACAGAGTAGCTAGTTTACTTAGAAAAAAAAAAAAGTGAAGAAGCATGGTGATAGAGAAGTTCTGCTGCTTTTAAAAGAAAGTTGTGAAAAACATTGGTATAGTAGAAAGAGCAATGAGCAAAGAATCAAATCTGAGTTCTAATTGTGACTCTGCTTCTTCTCTTCTGCAAACCTAACTTTCCCCGTGTACAAAACAGGCACAAATTGGTGGCAGTGTGAATTAAAGGAGGACGCCTATGGAAACTAAACCAGAAGTGAGGGTGGTGGCAGGGAGAGAGAAGTCCTGCAAAGAGAAGGCAAAGCTCTCCTCTACTTCCACCTTGCAGGACAGTTTAAGGACTGACATTGTGTCACAGTTTGGTTGCCCTGGGGCCAGTCCTGAGGGTTGCAAAGAATTACCAACGCAGAGGGTGAGCGCTCTAGCCTTGGCACCATCCACAGCTGAGTAGGGATATTTCTCAATCAGAGGCCTTGAGGGAACCATCTAGCTCTTGTGTCCTGAAGTGACACATGGTTTGGTGGCAATGCCAGCTACTTAAGAAGCATAACAACAAAGCCAGTCAGAGGTGAAAGGGACCTCATGGCATGGAGAGAAGAAGAGTAAAAGGCTGGGTGAGCATGGCACCTATGGAGTCAGTTTAAATGCCCACTTAGATGCTTACTAGCTTGGGCTGGTGATGTCACTTTTCTGTGCTCTAGCTATTACTCTGTAAAGCAAGACTACTGAGTTTGCATTTCATATGGTGGACCTAAAGGTGATTTGAGCATAAAGCTCCCAGAACAGTACCTGTAAGCATTGGCTGCTAGGACTCTGATGATGTCAGGTTCAAGGTCACCAAGGGAGTTAAGCCTAGAACCCAGGTCTCCTAAATCCCAGTCCAGTGCTTTGCCCAACTCACCACTCTGTTTTTAAATTGGCTGAGTGACTTAAAGTTAAATTCTGATTTCTTAAGCTCTTTAGTTAGAAATTTCTGAAGTGACCTGTTGATCTCTTCTTGGTTGCAAAACAAACTCATCAGCTGTGGTGCAGTGCTCTATCAGTTATGTTGACCCCCACAGGGAGACAGAAAGATACAAGGGACTTTCCACCCTCTCCCTTCCCTAATCGTTCTCTTTAACCTTTAACAAATTTAAGGGCAGAGCCTCAGGAAGTTGGAGGATTGAGAGCTTTAACATAAAGATACAGGTGTTTGGGGGAGTTCTTTCTAATATTTACCAAAGTTCAGCAAAGTTGAGCACATTGCTCAAGGTGACATAGTTTGTTAAGTAGAGGCCTTGAGATTCAAATCCCTGGCTTGTCCCACCTCAGAAACCAGTCTCCTTCCAAAATACTTCCACTGATTTTCAGAATAAGTCACTTAGCTTGAAGACTTTTATGGGGAATTTCCAAGTTTTCTAAAGTTATGAATATAAACCAATACCCACCTAGTGCCCTGGGATGGGGGGCACCTATGGAACCCAATCCCCAAATGACCTTGCCCCCAGACCCCACCTGGGTTCCCATGTATCTGATCTGTTTATTCAGATGTCATAATGTCTTCTTCAGTCTGTCCTTTTCCCTTTTCTCTGGGTTTAACTCTATTCCTATTATTAATTTTATGACTTGGCATCATCACTGCTCCCTCTCTGAGCATCAGTTTCCTCAGTTATAAAATAAGGTTTTCCTATTACTCAGTCTGTCTTGAGCTATCCCCAACAGGCAGTCTAGTACAGATGTAGATGAAGTACAGGGTCTCTGAAGCAGCCCTAGGGTTAAATTCTGGCCTCCCCATATATCTTTAAAAGGAGCTCAGGTGGCATAGTGGGTAAGGGATGTGGCTGCTAACCAAAAGATTAGCAGTTCAAACCCACCAGCTGTTCTGTTGAAGGAAGATGAGACAATCTACTTCCATAAAGATTTATAGCCTTAGAAACCCAATGGGAGTCGCTATCTTGGAATCGACTCAATGGCAGTGGGTTTGGGTTTTTTGGTTTTCAATATCTTTGGACAAGTCACTAATAAAATTATCTGTGCTTCAGTTTCCTCATCTGCAAAACAGGGACAAAAATAGTACTTTCTTCATAGTCTTGACAAGTAGATTAAATGTGATCACGCATGTAAGGTAAACAGTGTCTGGAGTATAGTAAGTGTTACGATGGTGCATAATGAGTGTTAGCTGCTAAAACCAGGACAGTTCCAGGCAAACCAGGACACTTGGTCCTCCTGCAGAAGGCCCAGATGTGGCAGGCAAGGACAAGGTGACTGAGAGATGGCCAAGGACTCCCTACTCAGCTTAATACAGGTATTGTCATGATGTGAGGGACTGACTATTGGATCTCCTTACCTCCACATACCCACAATCTCACATCTCCTTCCTCTCCTGTAGAGGGTTCCAGACCTTGGTTCACCTGGTGAAAGGCAACATGGGCACAGGGATCCTGGGGCTACCCCTGGCCATAAAGAATGCAGGCATCCTGGTAAGAGGGGCTGGTGCTGGTGGGATCATGATGACCTGTGTTGTGGGAGGAGAGACCTTTAACAGTCTATGATAGTTTGAAATGAGTAGTCTTTCTGGGAGACAGCTTGGTCCAGATATCTATCCTGGGTTTGATTCTGCCTTTGCCGCAGACTTGGACTGGCCTCGGCCAATTGTTTGTTCACTCTTTGGGCCTTTGTCTACCTCCCTCCCTCTTTTAGAATGTGAAGGTTGGACTATGACTATTTTCCAATTGTGTCTACAGAGCCCTGCATTTCCTCAAGGATTCCTTGGAGGCCACAGTGGGGCACGTGGTCAGAATTCTGTGTCCTATTCCCACCACAACACAACATTATAATGGATGGCTTTACGTATTTTATTGGAGTTCTGCTTGAGATAGCCTTTTTTTTTCCCCCCAGCAATAATTATTTTTTTAATACTTTATTTTATTTTATTATTGTTGTTGAAAAAATATATACAGCAAAACATACATAATTCAATAATAATTTTTATATGTACAAGACACTGACATTGATTATATTTTTCAAGTTGTGCAACCATGCTCACACTCCTTTTTCAAATTATTCCTCCACCATTTACATAACTCACTGCCCCATGACCTGCTTATCTAAACTTTTGAGTTGCTGTTGTCAATTTGATTTTAGATTGCATTTGAAAGATAGCTTTTACTGCTTAAAGGGTTTACAAACCAGTTTGCTAGAAAATTCTTTGAGTTCTTAATGATATCTGTAGTCACCAAATTCCTCCTCTCTATTTTCTTCTAAACCCGTTCTTCTCTCTCTCTCTCCCCTTTTTCTCCCTCCCTCCCCTTACTCCTCCAGATGGGCCCTCTCAGTGTGCTTCTAATAGGCTTCATCTCCTCCCACTGCATGCATATCCTGGTCAAGTGTGCCCAGCACTTCTGCCACAGGTAAGGAAAACTACACTCTTGCATCAATTCCTTTTGTACGTGATTCTCAGGAACATCCCAGAAATATTTTATAATGTTGATGTTATTGTTAATTGCCATTGGGTCACTGAGTAGAACTGCTCCATAGGGTTTTCTTGGCTGTAGTCTTAATGGAAGCAGATTGCCAGATCTTTTCTTCCATGAGACCACTGGATGGGTTTGAACCGCCAACCTAGAATGAACAATTGAGAACAAACTGTTTGCACCACCTACCCATAAACAAACAAACAAAAAACGCAAACTCACTGCTATCAAGTTGATTCTGACTCATAATGATGTCCTTTGGGTTTCCAAGGTGGTAAATATTTACAAAAGTAGATTGCCCAGTCTTCCTTTCACAGAGTGGCTGGTGGGTTTGAACTGCCAGTCTTCTGGTTAGCAGTCAAATGCCTTAGGCACTAAACTACCTACACATAACAAAAGTTTAATTCCTAATCTCCTCCAACAAGGCCACTGAAAAGCACTCAAAAAAAGAAAAGGGAAAATTGATATCAAATTAAATAATTGGTTTATTGTATTGAAATGATACTAAGACTGTAAAGCATAGGTTTACTAACTAGTTTGTCAGTGTTTTCACAGTTTAAAGAGCTAACATCAAAAACTTCACACCCTAGGAGGTAAATTATTTTGCTTACCACTATGACTTTTCATGTACAACATTAAATAAATGAACAATTAAAAGAAAAAAAGAGAGAAAGAGAGAGAGCGCTGCCATGTTACTCATTAAAAACAAACCCCATATGTGTCAGAGTAGAAGTATGCTCCATGAGATGTTCAGTGGCTGATTTTTCAGAAGTAGATTGCCAGGCCTTTCTTTTGAGGCACCTCTGAGTGAACTCAAGCCTCCAAACCTTTGGTCAGCAGCCAACTGTGTTAACTATTTGCATCACCCAGGGACTCCCCATTATTAATTAGATGATTTCAGTTGGACCATTGTGCTTATCATCTGTTTGGCTCATCTATGTGGTGTGTGTGTGTGTATAAATTGGACATAAACAATCCATGCTCAATCCTGCCTTGTCAGGATTGTCACAAGGATCCAATAGGATCACAGTTATGAAAACCACAGTACCTGTGCAAAGTATGCATTGTTACTTTTGTTATCTAGCAGCTGCCTCCTCTGACAGGTGAGGAAAACTAGTCACCAAGGAAATCCTACCAGTGTCAGAGCCTGAATCAGAACTTAGATCTCTTCCCCAGTGTTCTTCCCACTCTCCAGCTGGGCCCTGCCTTGCTCAGTGTCTCCTGATTTTTAAGTATGTGATTCTAGTGATTATTTGGCAACCGTGTTTGTGCTCTCTCCTACAGGCTTAACAAGCCCTTTATGGACTATTCAGAAACAGTTATGCATGGATTAGAATCCAGTCCCAGCTCCTGGCTCCGGAAACATGCCCACTGGGGAAGGTATTTTGGTCTTGCTCTGCCTGAGATAGTATAGGATTCAGTAGGTGAGCATGCTACTGTTAGGGATGTCCTCTTACCTGGAATGGTGTCTCATGTGGCACAGAATGTCAGACTTTCCACATGGACAAGGAGTTGATTGGCAACATCTATGTGCAGTCCCTTCTTGTATGCCTCCAATAACAGAATGCACATTCCTTTGTTATTCAACTTTAATATTATTCTTTCTTTTCTTTAACAACATTTATCCAATTGCTACTATGTGCCAAGCACTGGAAAAACCATGGGGAATGAGACAAATAACAAGGCTTTGCCCTCACAGAGTCTGTAGTCCAGTGGGAAGATATACATTAAACACAATTATTTAATAGACTCGGGAATATATAATATGAAGGAAAGAAATACTGGTTGCTACTGAGTAGGTAAGAAGACATACATGGGCTGAGGAGGGAGTTTCTTAGGATGGAATAACTGGATGAGTTCTGAAGAAAGGCATTCAAAAGATGAGGAATTCCCTGAAAGTTTATAGGGCCCTAGGCCTTGCAGAAAGAAGGAAGGCACTAGTGAAGGCCTCAAAGCAGGAAGGAGTGTGTGGCAGCTGCTTAAGGACAGAAAGTCAGGGAAGTAAAGCAGAAGAAGGAGTCTGGTGCTGGGTCAGGTCAGGCTGAGTATTTTAGACCCTCTTAATTATTTGGGTTTTTTTGCCTCCAGGAAGCCGTTGGAGGGATTTAGACAGGGAAGTGATCATATTTATATTGATTAAAGATTTGGCTGGCTTCTGTGAAGAGACTAGATTGTAAGTGAGCAAGAGTAGACTTAGAGGAGGCTGTTGACAATGGCCAGGCAGGTGGCAATGGTGGCTTGGACCAAGCTGGTGGCAGTGGGGTTAGAGAAGAATGGATTTGGTCATGAACTGGATATTGGGAAAGGAAAAAGAGGACAGGAAGAATCAGGAGTGGCTCAGATTTCTGAGGACTTCTATTTTGGACATGCTTGGTTTGAGGGGCCTGAAAAACATCTGAATAAAAATCTCAAGTTGGTGGTTGTATGTACAGATTTGAGTTTATCTTCATATAGTAGAAGAGAATTGATATCATCAGTCATGAAGCCAGGAGTCAGAGAAGTTCTCTTAAGAAGAGAGTATATAGTGAGAGAGGAATGGAGAGGAAAAAAAATCAAGACTTTATAATCTTTTGTTGAGCTGTAGTCTTCCTCCTTGCAACTCACACCCTACCTTTTAGCTTTGAGGGTAACACAGAACAAATAACAACCCCCCTCCATCCTCTGGTACATCTTTTCCCTTGTCTTCCAGACCTGTTCCCATCCTGTCTGCTTCCCCTTTTCTGAGCACTCATTAGGTTGTCAATGTCTCTCTTGAACTCTGATATCCAGTACTCAAGGTGTGCTCCTACTCACATGAGGTAGGCAGGGCATCGTAAGTCTTGCATCCCCCTTGGCCCAAATCCCATTCTGTATTAATTCAGCCCCTGAGCAGACTAGAAAGATGATGATCAGAATTTTCCCAATGGTGTGACCTGAGAGGAGACTTTTACCACAATCCACCCTCCTCACATACCTCACAGTCCCTGAAATTCTTCTACTCATTTTTGGGCACATAAAGTAGCTTTTCTTAACTCATTTAAGTACCTTGTTCCACTAATTATCTTCTCTCCTTTAACTAGAACTCCTTTCCTGTGGACTCTTGTCTGGAGAATTTAAATGTGTTCATGTATCTTCACTTAAAAAATAAAATAAATAAACAAGTTCTGGACCTTACGACATCCTCCAGCCACTATCTATCGCATAGTCACCATATTATTCAATAATCCAACATACTTGACATATTATTCAATATGTTTGTATTTGTTGAATAATATGAAAAATAATATTGCTGTTGTTATTCAACAATATTTCTGAAGATCTATGATGTGTCAGGTTGTACTTTAGACACTAGTCTACAATGATGAACAAGATGGACAATATTCAAACTGGAGCTCACATTCTAACTTTATGAAAGAAACCTACCCTGACTAGTGGCATCACTAGGGTTGGTGTCACCTAGTGTAGTAACTTATGGTGTCACCCACCCCCCCAGACCTCCTCCCATACCAGACTATCCAGAATCCTCAGTAATGTTGATTATCAATTTTAGTAATAGAATAATACATGATACATATAGTTGTAAACTGCTTAAATGTAGTATTTCTTAACTTATATGAATATTAACAAAATTATTTTATAAAATATTTTTACAATTAGTTACATTATTAGTAACAGAGCTGCAGATTTTTTTTTTTTTTTTGATGTTCCTTTTTTTTTCCTTTAATTATCAATCCATTCTCAAAGTTACTGATATATTCACAAGTACTAATTACCATACATGTGAGCTCTGGTAGCTCCTAAGGCACTGGACTGCCCACCAGAGGGCTGGCGGTTCAAACCCACCAGCCACTCCTCAGACGGAAGGTTGGGCAATCCTACTTCCGTAGTGATACTGCCTCGGAAACCCAAGGAGGGGTCGCTATGAGTCGGGGCCGACTCCACCGCACATAACAACAACAACAACAATCTGCCTCCGAAACCCAAGGAGGGGTCGCTATGAGTCGGGCTGACTCGACGGCACATAACAACACAACAATTACCATACTGTAGCTAAAACACCAGAACACTAGACAAAATCTGCTATAAAAACACCCGCGACAACGAAAACAACAGTGCATGCTCGTAGCATGTGCAGATGAAACCACATGATTCGAAGTGTTATTGTAATTGGGTAATAATGGCAGCACTTAGAGGTGCATTAGAAAGTTCAAAAAATAAATTAGCATAGAACGTTAGCCTTGAAGCTATTTTGATATATATGTAAGCTGGGCTTATGAAAAACATTTTTGTTGTTGTTGTTATAACCAACAATAGGGATATTTTTATTTAATAATAATAATAAATTTCTGCTGAAACACTGCACAAAAATTTTTCAGACAGTCAATGTGGTGTCACCCCCTCTAATAGTATCACCTAGTGTGGTCCACACTCCCCTTCCCCTGCACCCCTGCCAGTGATGCCACTGCCTCTCACTTTGCTTCCTCACATCCCATTCACATCTTTCATGAATCATCTGGCTCTTCTGTCTTTATAATTCTACTGAAGTTCTTTACACTAATGTCCTTGTTGTACCTTCCTTACCCTAAAGAACCCTCAGCAGAGGTGAGTACAATCAACTATTCTTTTATTGAAACATTCTCCCCACCACACCTTGGTTTCGATTTAAGTATTTTCTTCCTGGTTTCCCTCCTACTTTTCTGACCATTTCTTTGCATTCATCATAGACTTCTTTGTTTCCATCCATATTGTGGTCTCCAGAGTTTGGAATGTTCCTTCTCTTCTCACTTTGCCCACTCTCTGACAGTGACCTGCCTTCTCAACACTTTATCCACTACCTACACTAGTAGGTACATGGTTGTACATACAACTCTATACAACAACCCTAATGATGTCACTAGTCAGAGATCCTAATATATAGTTGTATATAGTTGTATCCACTAGTCTTAGATCCCAATATATAATTGCCCCATGAATGTCACCTATAGGAACCTCAAGTTCAACAATTCAAATCCTGAATGTGTCATTTGTGCTCCTTCCTCTAAAACCTGTTTTTCTTCTAAATTTCTCAGTTCATTTTGTGCTCCAGCCAAAAACCTGCACATCAACAGGTTTTTATAAATTCTAGCTCCTTAGTATCTCTTAAAATGTTTTTGTTCTCTCATTCCTAAAGATCAGGTCTTTGTGCAGAGTGTTGCTGTCTGTCAACTCCATTATTGCAAGAATCCAATCTCTCATCCTTCGTCTTGCCAAGTCTAATGGACTTTCCACATGGCAGCTAGAGAAATCAGCCTGCTCTCTCTATTGAGAAACCCTTTCCTCTCTTCTTATTCTTTTTCTTTTATTGTTGCAGCTACTATTGTTGTTACTCTTCTTCTTCCTCCTCCTCCTCCTCTTCTTCCTTCTTTCTCTCTCTGTCTCTGTCTCCTCCCTCCTCTCATTTTCCCCTTCCCAGTTCTTCTGAGTTTCCCACTCAGGTATCAGTTTTTCTAGGAAGACTTTCTGTCTGCTCCACAAATTGGTTAGAATGCTGTTTTCATGTGTACCTCTTCACGCCATATTATAATAATCTTTTTCATCTTCCCTACTAATCTATAAACTACTAAAGGTAACTAAGGATCATGTGTTATTTCTCTCTATGTCTAATAAGCACATGGCAGAAAAACAAATTGAATGTTAGTGATAGCTAATAAAACATTGTGCCTAATATCATGTTTCAGTTAGTGGCAATTATGAAGAATCTTGCAAAGCCAGGTGCAGGGGGAAAGGGCAAGCTCCTGACCATGAAGAATTTTACCACTTACGGAGCTAAGAACTAAGCATGGTGGAAAAACATTTTTTAAGAGAACTGTTGTTACCTCTTTTCTTACTGTGTCATAGTCAGTTGTGGTGGCAGGACCAAGGATGTTGGTTAGGGGATAGCAAGAGGCAGGGGACAGAATGGCAAGAAATGGAACCCACAAGTCAACTTCTCTTACAAATTTTCTTTCTCTTCCTCCCCTCTAGGCATGCCGTGATCTTCTTCCTTACAATCACCCAGCTGGGCTTCTGCTGTGTGTACATTGTGTTTCTGGCTGATAATTTAAAGCAGGTAGAGAAGATGGGAGGGAAGAAAACATGCAAAAAGAGAATCCTTTGTTAACTATTTACCAAGCAAATGGTTTTGCCTCTGTGAGTCTATTGTCCTTATCATTAAAACAAAGGAAGTTCAACTAAATGGTACCAAAGAACCCAGACTCCCTTCACTCCACACCTGTGGATTTCTATAAGTCATTACTTTGGCCACAATATCCTTTGTCCAGTGTTTTGGACATGCCTTCAAATTGATCTCTAAAATCCTGAACTGGAAGGAGCCTTAGATTCCTCAGTACTCCTGTTTTAGAGCTTACTTGTCCTTAACTCTTTTTTTTTTTTTTTAAATGATACCTAATCTCCTTTGGCCATCTTTATCTGCCTTTATTTACTTAATCTATGGATAAACAAGCTCTGGTAGCATAGTGCCTGAGGCATTTGACTGTCAGCCAGAAGTCTGGAGGTTCAGACCCACCAGCCACTGCTCAGAAGGAAGACTGGGCAATCTACTTCCATAGAGATACTGCCTCTGAAGGAGCTCTGGTAGCATAGTGGCTAAGGCACTTGACTGCTAACCAGAAGGCTGGCGGTTCAAACCCACCAGCCACTCCTCGGAAGGAAGGTTGGGCAATCCTACTTCCGTAGTGATACTGTCTCGGAAACCCAAGGAGGGGTCGCTATGAGTCGGGGCCGACTTGACTCGACGGCATATAACAACAACAACAACTGCCTCTGAAACCCAAGGAGGGTTCGCTGTGAGTTGGAGCCAACTTGACGGCAGTGAGTTTGGGTTTTTTTGGCTATGGTTAAACAGTTGCTGTCACCAGGAACTTCTTTGATCTAAACAAAATGTTTTCTTGCAGTAATTTGAGAAAAAAGAATGAGTAATAACAGAAGTCATCCTTACTCAATTAATACACTTAAAAAAGAAAATTGTTCTTTGGGATTTTTCTTCTGACTGTAAAAGTAATACCAGAAATTAGAAAAGTCAAAAAAGAAGAAAAGAAAGAAATAGAAAGCATCCACCAGAAAAGATACCACTTGCCATCAAGTCCCTTCCAAATTACAGTGATCCTATAGGACAGAGTATAGGAGCTCTGGTAGCATAGTAGGAACCCATAGAGTTTCCAAGGCTGTAAATCATCATGGAAGCAGACTGCCTCATCTTCCTCCAGCAAAGTGGCTGGTGGGATTGACCCACCATAAAGCAGTCCAATACTTTAACCACAACAACACTTCCAGATTGCCTCAATTATCCACCACCAAAAACCCACTGCTGTAGACTTGATTTTCACTCATAGCAACACTATAGAACAAAGTGGAACTGCCCTATAGACTTTCCTAAATTGTAACCTTTATGACTCATAGCTATGAGATTAAACTCAACACAGTGGGTTAAATCTTTACAAGGAGCCCTGGTGGTGCAGTGGTTAAGCGCTCACCTGCTAACCTAAATGTTAGTGGTTCTATTCTATTTTATAGGGTCACCATGAATCTTACTCATTGGCAACGGGTTTGGTTTTTTGGAATGTTTATGGGGAAGAGCCCTGCAAATGCATTGATTAAAGCCCTGGGTGTGTAATGGTTAAGGACTTGGCTGCTAACCAAACCCACCAGCCACTCTGTGGGAGAAAAGACCTAGCCATCTGTTTCTTTAAAGATTATAACCTAGGAAACCCAATGGGTCAGTCCTACTCTGTCCTTTAGGGTCACTATGAAAGAATGCTCAGTATCTCCTAAACAATAGCTCTTCCTTTCCCCAAAAAATTACTCTTAATCCAAACACTCATGGTTATCATTTTAACTGAGCATTAACTCATCAGCATTTTGCAATGTCCTAAATTTTTCTGTCATAATTTTTAGTAGCTTCATAATGTTCAATCAGAGTCCTTGGGTGATGCAAATGGTTAACGTACTCAGCTTGGAGGTCCAAGCCTGACCAGAGGCAGCTCAGAGGAAAGTTTGGCTATCTACTTTCCAAAAATGAGTCACTAGACACTCTATGGAGCAAAGTTGTACTCTGATATACATGAGGTCATCATGAGTTAGAATTCACTTGGTGGCAACTGGTTACTATTCAATCACAGAAACTGACCATAACTTAATCAGTCTTCTATTCATAGATCTTCCCTTTGCTTCCCTTCATTGTTCTGCTATAATCTTTTGCAGTATATTTGTGTGCTCTTTTGTTTCTTTAGCATAGATTTCTTAAAATGGAAATACTGGGTCAAAGAGTGATTGTCTTAAAGGTGCTTAAAATACATTGTCTGATTGCTCTTCAGAAAGGTGATCTCTAAATACTTTTACTCATCACCTGCCTAGAGACAAGGCAAGCACTATGTTGGGCAGTCTACAGGTTAAGTGGGGTGTGTTCTGATACATGTAACAAGTTGTATGTCAATATAATATTTAATTGTCAGATTAGGACACTATTAACAACCCTCTGAGGTTGTGGGTGTTTAATTGTCAACTAAATGGGCGATATCATAGTTTCCTAAATGTGCAGGGACAGGAAAGATCACTGGAGCAAGGGAAGGCTACCTAGAAGATGGTGTAGCTGATGTAGTCTTTAAAGGCAGGTATAACAGCTGTGACAGCCTGGTGGGAAGGTAGTGAATGAAATCCTGGAGCTAGGTCTTACTCAAGAGAGGCAACTTGGACTGGTTTGGTTATAGAAAACAGTGTTGGTCTTGGATGAGGAAAAGCCTTAGGAGTTGGATGGGGCTCATTGAAAGCCTGGCTAATGTTTCAGGGATTTTTCCTATTATAGTCAGGAATCAGAAAAAACAAAACAAAATTTATGATTCATTTAATAATCCATGGTGTGTTGTTAAGTGAAAGAGGATTTCAAAATAAAAGCGTATACACTAAGACTCATTCTGTAAATTTTTTAAAAAAAGAAGTGTAAAATACATGCAGTTTGTGATAATGTACAGAGAATATACAGCTGGATATATTCCAGGGTGTTACCATGGCTATTCATAGATAAGGATTAATAATGCTTTTATATTTTCTTCTTGTCGAAAAATATAGATAGCACATTTGCCAATTTAACATTTTTTACTTGTACAATTTAATGAAACCAATATTGATTGCTCCATAGTGAATTGCTTGCATAATAAAATTCTATTAGTTAGGTTGTGCTGGTTCTAAACCAAGGGTCATTCCTCACCCTCCACTTTGCCAGATGGTGTTTGAAAATACATGTGGGGAGTTTTTTGTTTGTCACAATGATTGGTGGATGCTATAATTGAGAGTTAAACCTTAATTGTATTCATGTAGAATTTGTACATAGACCAAGAGGCGGTCATTCTAACAGAACAAGGGGATATTGCATGGTTTAAAATCAGGAAAAGTGTGACTCAAGGTTGTATCCTTTCACTATATTTATTCAATCTGTCACTGAGTGAATAATCCAAGAAGCTAGACTATATGAAAAAGAATGTGGCATCAGGATCAGAGGAAGGCTCATTGTCTTGGTCTTTCAGTCGCTGTAACAGACATGCCACAAATGGGTGGCTTTAACAAACAGGGATTTATTCCCTTACAGTTTAGGAGGCTAGAAGTCCGAATTCAAAGTGCCAGCTCTAGGGGCTGGATGAAGGCCACTCCACCTTGGGCTTCAGCTCTACTTCCTATTCCAGGCCCACTAGAGCTGGAGGCTTTTTCTGATTCATGCAGCTGCTAGCTGCTGAGGCTGGCAAACCCAAGATCGACAGGTAAAATGGAACAGTCCCAATATTAGCAAACAACATGGCACACTACTAGTTCAAGTCCAGAAACAATCCTAAGATTGCCAGACCACTGAGATGAAGACTCAGCCAGATGCAGGATCCAAATATGCCAAAAAGTAGAGACCTTCCTCAAAGCTTCTCCTTATATACTGGAAGCAGGCAACATCCTGAAGGGAGCTACTTAGCTGCTCATAGTGGATTCCACCATGGAGCTGGTTACCAATCTCATCATGAGGAATAACTATTTCCAGCTGTTCAGCCACTCAAAACCACAGCCCTGCCAAACTGACACACTATCCTAACTACCATACTCATTAATAAGCTGCAATATACAGATGACACAACCTTGCTTGAGAAAGGTTGAGGACTTGAAGCACTTATTGGTGAAGAGCAAAGACTACAGCCTTCAATATGGATTACACCTCAATGTGAAGAAAACAAAAATCCTTACAACTGGACCAGTAACAAATATCATGATAAACAGGTAAAATATTGAAGTTCAAGGATTTTACTTGAATCCACAATCAATTCCCACAGTAATAGCACTCAAAAATTGAACCATGTACTGCGCTGGACAATTCTGCTACAAAAGACCTTTTTAAAATGTTAAAAAACAAAGATGACACCTTGAGGACTAAGGTTCACCTGACCCAAGCTGTAATATTTTCAATTGCCTCATATGCATGTAAAAGCTGGACAATGAATAAGGAAAACCAAAGAAGAATTGATGAAGAATATTGAATATACTATGAGCTACCAGAAGAATGAACAAATTTCTCTTGGGAGAAGTACAGCTAGAATGCTCCTTAGATGCAAGGATGGCAAGACTCTGTCTCATTTAATTTGGACATGTTATCAGGAGGGACTGCTCCCCTAAAGAAGGATAGCATGCTTGGTAAAGTAGAGGGTCAGCAAAAGAGATGAAGACTTTCTATGAGATGGATTGACACAGTGGCCGCAACAATGGACTCAAACATAGCAATGGTTGTGAGGATGGTGAAAAACCGGGCAGTACTTTGTTCTATTGTACATAGGGTCGCTATGAGTCAGAACCAACTTGACAGCACCTAACAACAGCAACATAATTGAGGGTGGGGCCCAGGATGCTAAATGTCCTACAGTGAATCGTTCAGTCCACCCAAGGAAGAGTCTTCTCATTCAAAATGCCAGAAGTGTTCCGGTTGAGAAACAATAAATTATGGGGGTTCTAGGTTATAATCAAAAGAAACAGGTTCTGGGGAACTTAAAGCAGAAGATAAGTTTAGTGGAAGAACATTGGCCAATTTTAGAAATAATAGAGAAAGCTAAAGAATGGGTTTCAGAAAAGAAGAGGAACCAGGGAAGATATGGGGATCCAGAGATAAAACTAATAAGCAGTCCTTCAGGATTCCACTACCAGAATCAATTTTTCTAGTTTTATCTTTGTGTCACTCTACTTGAGATTTAGATTCAGATTCCTGGGATAGATTATGAATGCTAGAGTAAGAAGCCCATCCTTTGGCTGTGCCGTATGATTATGATTAAATCCTCAAGGGCTGTATTCAGTTGTTGTTGCTCTTATGTGCCATCGAGTTGGACCCGACTCATAGCGACTTCTCCTTGGGTTGCTGAGGCATTATCACCATGGAGGTAGATTGCCCAACCTTCCTTCCAAGGAGTAGCTGGTGGGTTTGAACCGCCAGCCTTCTGGGTAGCATTCAAGTGCCTTAGGCACTATGCTATCAGAGCTCACAGATCAAAATCAGGAGGAATGGATGCTAGATTGCCAAAAGCCAACCACTAGTCAGTATAACCCACTTTTTCTTTCTTATTAAAATTATTCATGCAACCTCTTTTGAGAAAGTATGGCACAGAAAGTTCAGAATAAGAAGTCCTAAATCCAGATATGTAATCCAGATGACACAACCTTGCTTGAGAAAGGTTGAGGACTTGAAGCACTTACTGGTGAAGAGCAAATAGTACAGTCTTCAATATGGATTACACCTCAATGCAAAGAAAAAATATCCTTACAACTGGACCAGTAACAAATATCATGATAAACAGATAAAATATTGAAGTTTTAGGATTTTACTTGAAACCACGATCAATGTCTGCAGTAATAGCACTCAAAAATAGAACAATGTATGAAATATATGAAATGCTCCAACTCTTTGTGATGGAACTGGATTATGGACAAGACACTAAGCTAACCATATGGCTAGAACGTTCAGCATCTTCTCCTTTTGCTTTTCCCATTCCTTCCTCAGGTAGTGGAAGCTGTTAATGGTACAACCAACAACTGTCATCACAATGAGACTGTGACTCTGACACCCACCATGGACTCCCGGCTCTACATGCTCTCCTTCTTGCCCTTCCTGGTGCTGCTGGCCTTTGTCAGGAACCTCAGGGTCCTGACCATCTTCTCCATGTTGGCTAACATCAGCATGCTGGTCAGCCTGGTCATCATCACCCAGTACATCGCCCAGGTTAGTGCACAGTGCATCCCTGAGTCCTCCAGTGAGCAGGGCCTTTGTGTTCGTAGTAGACACCTGGCTGTACCTTGAGGGTGGTATGTACGTGTATGTGTGTTCCTCACTTTTCAGTCTAGTCCCCACCTCCAGGTGGCATTCTTCCACAGGATGTCTGTATGCAGTCTCTATCTTCTAGATATTTCCTCTTTTATATTGTTTTCTCCAACACCTGTGTTTTATGTTACACTCTCATTTTTTTTAAATGCTTTGCAAGGAAAATATTTTGATTGGTGAACTACAGATCATTCTTGTAATGGCTGGAAAGCTGCAAAATCAAATTGAAAAAGTTTCGTTTTTCTTTTCAACTTCTTTTTTGAAACTTTACAGAGAAAATTGGTTTTCCAATCAATAATCCAGACACAGTTTGTTTTTTGAAACTGGTGGCAATCCCCACAAGGTAACAACACTCGTCCCACTTCCTTCCTGTGTTTTCCATTCATTTTCCTCCATATCCCTTCTTTCCTTCTGAGTTTTACCCCTGGGCAAATCCTACCCTTTTGATCTCATATGGTTGATTGTTCTAAGGAGTGTGTACTTCCTTGGTGTTATTGTTTACCTTACAAACCCAAATCAAACCCACTGCTATCAAGTCAGATCCAACTCATAGTGACCCCTCCTTGGGTTTCTGAGGCGGTATTACTATGGAAGTAGATTGTCCAACTTCCTTCTGAGGAGTGGCTGGTGAGTTTGAACCACCAGGCTTCTGGTTAGCAGTCAAGTGCCTTGGGCACTAAGCTACCAGAGCTCCCAGGCACTATGCCATAGGTCTCTCGATTGTCTGGCTGAAATAGAACCATGAGGATGAGTTCAGTTCTACACTTGAAGGTTTGCTAAGGGCCATAATTTCAGGGGTTCCACCAGTCTCTATCTGACCAGTAAGCCTGGTCTTTCTTTTTATGATTTTGAATTTTGTTCCACATTTTTCTCCCACTCTGTCCAAGACCTTCTATTGTGATCCCTTTCAGAGCAGTTAGAAGTAGTAGCCAAGCGCCATCTAGTTCTCCTGATTTCAGAGTCATGGAAGCTGAGGTTCATCTGGTCCATTTGTCATTTGGACTAAGTGTTTCCATGTATCTCTGATTTTCTTCATTCTTCTTCATTCCAGATGGGGAGAAATTAATAGTTGTACTTTATATGGCCTTTCACAAGCTTTTAAGATCCTACCCATACTCACCAAAACAGGATGTAGAACAGTATCTTTTGTGGACTGTGTTATGCAAATTTATCCTGATGTCCCCCACAACTGTGGTCCTAAGTTCCCAGGCTGGCCCAGCAACTCATTGCCTCAAGGTTTGGTTATGGATAAGAAGTTGTCCTAATTTTGCCCCATTTCCTCTACTATAGACATGGATATATTTACAACACATACAAATATGTGTGTAGAAATATCATCTGCCAAACCTATATATGGTGGTGGGGGTAGTTCCATTTTCCTACCCATACCTGATCTTGCCTGTCTGCCTACGTGTAGATTGATTTTTGTTGTTTTTGATAATGTAGGTTTGTGTATGTAATTGTTTATTGTCTGTAACTATTGTACACCTTTCAGTGTCTTCCTTTTCCTTAATGGTATTGTATTGATCATCCCCTTGTTGTCTATTGCCTTTCTCTTCACCCAAATTAATACTTGTCTATTATCTAATTAGTGATTTTCCATCCCCTCCCCTCCCATTCCTGGTAACCATCAAAAAACATTTTTTTCTGTGTATCCACATTTCTTTGACTCTTTATAATCATGGGTTCATACAATATTTTGTCCTGACTTATTTCACTCAGCATAATGTCCTCCAGGTTCATTTGCATTGAGATGTTTCATGGATTCATCAGTAATCTTTAATGTAGCATAGTATTCCATTGTGTGTATGTACCATAGCTTGTTGATCCATACATCCACTAATGGGAACTCAGGTTGTCTCCATCTTTTTGTTATTGTGAATAAGGCTGCAGTGAACATGGGTGGGCATATCTCTGTTCATATCTTTGCTCTTATTTCTCTAGTATATATACCTAGTAGTGGGATTCCAAGGACCCCTGGTAGCATAGTGCCTAAGGTACCTGACTGCTAACCAGAAGGCTGGCGGTTCAAACCCACCAGCCACTCCTCGGAAGGAAGATGGGGCAATCTACTTCCATAGTGATACTGCCTCAGAAACCCAAGGAGGGGTGGCTATGAGTCGTGTCTGACTCAACAGCACATAACAATAACAAGTGGGATTCCTTGATCAAGTGGTATTTCCATTTCCAGTTGTTTAAGGAAGCACCATACCATTTCCATGTGTTTACACCATTTTACAGTCTCACCAGCAGTGTACAAGAGTTCCAATCTCTTCACACTCTTGCCAGCATTTGTTGTTTTCTGTCTTATTATACTTTACTATTTTTGCTGGGGTAAGATGGTATTTCATGTTTATTTTGATTTGTATCTCTCTAATGGCTAATGATCATGAGCATTTCTTTATGTGTTAAAAAACCAGGTTCTTCTACCACAGCTAAATCTTATCAAATTACCATAGTCTTACATTCTCTAAGCTATAATTCCAAACACCAAAAATTACCCCCTAGAGAACCCAAGAAAGAGAGGGGAAAAAAGAGGAAACTGAAAAAGAAAAAATCATAGAAGTTTAAATAGAGTCTCAAAAAGACCACAGTGAATCTATCATGATGTTAATTAAAATGTCTTTGACAACTTGAACTATGGATACTGATTTTCCCTAAATATTCTATTTTTCTATCTTTCCTGATCTTTCTTTTCTAAAGGACAAAATTACATCAAAATTTAAACCCCAGAAGCCCCTTGGTATACCCAATACCTTTCAGGAGCCATAAGGAAAAAAAAAAAGTTATACTATCTATAGAATTTAGGAGGTCTGGTAGCATAGTGCCTGAGGCACTTGACTGCTAACCAGAAGGCTGGTGGTTCAAACCCACCAGCCACTCCTCAGAACGAAGGTTGACAAATCTACTTCTGTAGTGATGCTGCCTTGGAAACCCAAGGAGGGGTTACTATGAGTCGGGGCCGACTCCATGGCACATAACAACAACAACAACATCCATAGAATTTAGTAAAAATAATGAATTAGTGATATTTTAGAATAAAGATATATCAGTCTTATACTCCTGAGGCAGCATTGATGGCTTTTGTAAAACTGATTTTCCTAATGAGATAACTACCTGTTATTCAATTTTGGATGATTCCAAGAGTTACCCAAGAAAAAAAATGATTCTGTAATTATTTGCACATTCTAGGGTACAAGATACATAAAATGTTTATTCCAGATACTTTTGTTCTCTTCCATTTATGGCTCATTGAAGAAGAAAAGAGGACTTTCAGTTTTAAGTAATTTTTTTTGGTTCCTTAGAATATCACTATAAATACAGTCATAGTAATTTCCCATATCCATGACAACTCTCCATTCAAAGATGTACTTGAGTATTTAAAAGGGAATTAATCTATAGTGGGTAAGACTTTGTTGTTGTTGTTCTTGAGGTTTCTGATAAATCATACTCCCTCCATGAGATATTATTATTCATTAATAGTCTGATAATTCCTCTATGTTGCTGTCCTCTGGCTCTTTGGTTTTGTTCAGTGTTAATAACAACTTTGATCTTTGCCTACTTCTCTGAAATTTCCTGAACTTCTTGGCATTCTATTAAAAAGATTCAAGTCATTCTAAGAGTACCTTTCTCTTAAATATGCTTTGAGAGTGAATATCTCATCCCATTTTTCTCTCCTGTAGGGAATTCCAGACCCCAGCAGATTGCCACTGGTAGCAAGTTGGAAGACCTACCCTCTCTTCTTTGGAACAGCCATTTTCTCATTTGAAAGCATTGGTGTGGTAAGAGTTGGACTTTCCTTGGTGCTGTGAGTGGACTTCTTTAATGGAGATAGAAGCTCTGAGTTTCTGTGTTCTCTTTGCCATTGTGTCGGGCCTGCTGGAAAATACACTCAGGAAAAAGAAAATACACTCTGGTGTCACTTGAGTTAGTTGTCACTAGCAGAAGAGTGAGTTACAACACAGAGCCAGCCACGAGGTAGAGATTTATTTTTGTTCTAATACATCTGTCTATCAAACCACTGTCTTCACATCACATGACCTTCTTGAATGTGAATTTCATAATCTTTTAACTAAATCAAAACTAATGGAGTTGTACAATTTAAATTAGAAGATTTATTTAAACATAAAGGAGTTTTCAACTAGAAAGTACAGTATATTTACAATGGCTATTATATAGTCTCTACTTCTATACTTGAGGAAGGCTAATGCTCCTCATGTATTTTTTAAAATTTAGGTTTAATTTATATTCAGTAAAATCCACTTTTCTGTGAGCTTTGAGCAATGAATAGAATCATGTAGCTACCACCACAATCAGGAACCAGAACAAAGACTTCCTCATGCTGTGTCTCCTCTCCCTACCACTAACCCCTAGCAACCATTATCTGTTCTGTTTCTGCCTTTCTATCTTTTCCTTAATGTCATATAGATGGAATCATGTGGTATGAAACTAGTTTCTTTCACTTACATAATGGACTAAGATTCAGTCATGTTGTGGTGTATATCAACAATGCTTTCTATTGCTGAGCACTGCTGTGTAAATATACCACATCTGTTTATCCAGTCACCTTTGGAATGCCATTTGAGTTGGTTCTAGTTTTTGTTGGTTATGAAAAATGTGGCTATAAGCATTTGTGTGTAGGTTTTTATGTGAACACAAGTTTTCGTTTCCTTAATGTAGAATCCAAGGTCATATGGAAACTGCATGTTCAACTTTATTAGAAATTGCTTGATGATTTTCAGAAAGGTGTATCATTTTGCATTCCCATCAGAATATATGCACATTACAATTGCTCTGTATCGTTGTTAGCACTTGGTATCATCAGTGTTTTTATTTTAGCCATTCCAATAGGAAAATAGTGGTCTCTTGTTGTTGTTGTTGTTGTTCGGTGCTGTCAAGTCATCTCCGACTCATAGCGACCCTATGTACAGCAGAATGAAACACTGCCCGGTCCTGTGGCAACCTCACAATCCCTACTATACCCAAGCCCATCGTTGTAGCCACTGTGTTAATAATCCATCTTGTTGAGGGTCTTCCCCTCTTTCACTGACCCACTTTACCAAGCATGACATCCTTCTCCAGAGAATGGTCCCTTCTGACAACATGACCAAAGTAGGTGAGAAGAAGTCTGACCATTCTTGCTTTCAAGGAGCATTCTGGCTGCACTTCTTCCAGGACAGACTTGTTAGTTCTTTTAGCAGTCCATGGTACTTTCAGTATTCTTTGCCAACACCACAACTCAAAAGCATCAGTTCTTCTTCGGTCTTCCTTATTCATTATCCAGCTCTCACATGCATATGAAGTGATTGACAATACCATGGCTTGAGTCAGGCACATCTTAGTCTTCAAGGAAACATCTTTGCTCTTCAGCACTTGAAGAGGTCTTTGGCAACAGATTTGCCGAATGCAATATATCTTTAGATGTCTTGACTGCTGCTTCCATTGGCATTGATTTGAGAATGAAGCAATATGAAGTCTTTGGCACCTTCAGTCTTTTCTCCATGTATTGTGATGCTCCTTATTGCTCCAGTTGTAAAGATTTTATTCTCTTTATATTAAGGTGTAATCCAAACTGCAGACTGCAGTCTTTAATTTTCATCAGTAAGTGCTTCAAGTCATCCTCACTTTCAGCAAGCAAAGTTTTGTCATCTGCATATCTCAGGTTGTTAATGAGACTTCCCCCAGTCCTGATGCCACATTCTTCTTCATATAGTCCAGCTTCTCAGATTATTTGCTCGGCATATAGACTAATAAGTATGTTGAAAGGATACAACCCTGACATGCTCCTTTCTTGATTTTAAACCATGCAGTGTCCCCTTGTTCTATTCGAATGACGGCCTCTTGGTCTATGTACAGGTTCCTCATGGGTACAATTAAGTGTTCTGGAATTCCCATTCTTTTCAATGTTATCCACAATTTGTTATGATCCACACAATCAATTGTTTTTGCATAATCAATAAAACACAAGTAAACATCTTTCTGGTATTCTTTGCTTTGAGCCAAAATCCATCTGACGTTAGTTATGATATCCATTGCACCACATCACTTTCTGAATCCAGCTTGCACTTCTGGAAGTTCTCTGTTTATGTACTGCTGCAACCGTTTTTGAATTATCTTCAGTAGGATTTTACTTGCATGTGATATTAATGATATTAATGATTAATGTAATTTCCATATTCTATGGGATCACCTTTCTTTGCAATGGGTACAAATATGGAAATCTCTCTTCAAAATCTCTTGGCATAGATGAGTTAGTGCCTCCAGCAGGGCATCAATTTGTTGAAACATCTCAATGGGTATCCCATCAATTCCCAGAGGCTTGTTATTCACCAATTCCTTCACTGCAGCTTTGACTTCTTCCTTCAATACCATTGGTTCTTGATCATATACCATCTCCTGAAATGGATGATCATCTATCAATTCTTTTTGGTATAGTGATTCTGTATTTCTTCCATCTTCTCTTGATGTTTCTACATCATTCAACATATCACCCATGGAATCATTCAATATTGCAATTCGAAGCTTAAATTTTTTCTCTGTTCTTGCAGCTTGAGATATGCCAAGTGTGTTCTTCCCTTCTGGTTTTCCAACTCCAGTTCTTTACACATTTCATTATAATAATTGATTTTGTCTTCTTGAGCTGCTCTTTGAAATCTTCTGTTCAGCTCTTTTATCTTGTCATTTCTTCCATTTGCTTTATCTACTTTCTATTCAAGGGAAAGTTTCAGAGTCTCTTCTGACATCCACTTTGGTCTTTTCTTCCTTTCCTGTCTTTTTAATGGCCTCTTGCTTTCTTCATGGATGATGTCATTGATGTCATCCCAAAATTTCTCTGGTTTTCAGTCATTGGTGTTTAATTGGTGGTATTTTGCTGTGATTTAATTTGCATTTTATTACTGACCAATGATTTAGAGCAACTTATTATGTCATTCTTTGACATCATATTGAACACTAATGACCAAAGACCAGACAAGTTGTGGTATGACATCAAGGACACTTGAAGAAAGCAAAAGATCATTAGATAGACAGGAAAGAAAGAAAAAACTAAAATAAATGGCAGAAGAGATTCTGAAACTTGCTTTTGAATGTAGAGTAGCCAGAGAAAAAGGAAGAAGTAATGAGAAGTAAAAGAGCTGAACAGTTTTCAAAGGATAGCTTGAGAATACAGAATATAATATTACAATGAAGTGTGCAAAGACTTGGAAATAGAAACATAAAAGGGAAGAACATACTTGGCATATCTCAAGCAGAAAGACCTGAAAAAAAAATTCAAGCCTAAAACTGCAATATTGAAGGATTCTATGGACAAAATATTGAATGACAAAGAAGCATCAAAAGAAGATGAAAGTCAATAGACCAAAAAGAATTGGATGATCTTCAACTATTTCAGGAGGCAGCATATGATCAAGACCTGATGGTACTGAAAGAAGTCCAAGGTGCACTGAAGGCACTGGCAAAAAACAAATGTCCAGCCACTGACAGAAAACCAACAGAAATATTTCAAGAAATGGATGCAGCACTGCCCGCTCATCTATGCCAAGAAATTTAGAAGAGAGCTACTTGCTCAACTGACTAGAAGAGATTCATATTTGTGCCCATTCTAAAAAAAGGGGGTCCGACAGAATATGCAGCTTATCAAACAATGTCATTAACATTACATGCAAGTAAAATTTAGCTGAAAATAATTTAAAAATCATTACAGCAGTAAATCAAAAAGAAACTGCCAGAAATTCACCCTGGATTCAAAAGAGGATATGGAATGAGGGATATAATTGCTGATATCAGATGGATCTTGGCTGAGAGCAGGGAGCACCAGAAAGATCTTTGCCTGTGTTTTATTGGCAATTCAAAGGCTTTTGTCTGTGTGGATCATAATAAATTATGGGTAGTATTGTGAAGAATGTGAATTCCAGAACCCTTATTTGTGCTCATGCAGAACTTGTACCAAGAGGCTGTCGTTTGAACAGAGTAAGAGGATTCTGCATGGTTTGAAATCAGGAAAGGTGGGCATCAGGGTTATATCCTTTCACCACACTTATTCAATCTAGATATCATACTTGGGATAGGGTCAGCAAAAAGGGAGAAGACCCTCAATGAGATGGACTGACACAGTAGCTACAATGATGGGCTCAAGCATAGTAATGACTGGGACAGTGGTACAGGACCAGGCAGTGTTTCATTCTGTTGTTCATAGGGCTGCTGAGTCAGAACCAACTTGATGGGACCTGACAACAACAACAATAACAATTCAATCTGTATAATGAGGAAATAGTCCGAGAACCTGGACTATATGAAGAAGAATGCAGCATCAGGATTGGAGGAAGACTCATTAACAACCTGCAATATACACATGACACAACCTTCCTTGCTGAAAGAGAAGAGGACTTGAAGCACTTACTGATGAAGATCAAAGATGTTAGTATGCATTACACCTCAACAAAGAAAAGAAAAATCCTCACAAATCGACTAATAAGCAGCATCATGATAAATGGAGAAAAGATTGAAACTATCAAGGATTTTATTTTACCTGGTTCCACAATCAATGTCCATGGAAGCAGCAGTCAAGAAATCAAAGGACATATTGTGTTGGGCAAACATGCTGCAAAAAATCTATTTAAAGTGTTAAAAACAAAGACATCCCTTTGAAGACTCAAGTGCACCTGACTCAGGCCATCGTATTTTCAGCTGCTTCATAAGCACGCAAAAGTTGGACAATGAATAAGGAAGGCTAAAGAAGAATGGATGCCTTTGAATTATGGTGTTGGTGAAGAATATTAAATAT